CCTACTGTTCTGCTCCTATACTGGGCTAATGAAGACGGGCATACGCCATACATTGTGCTATGAGGGAAATTTTGCCCGGGCAGCGGCACTATCGCCTACTCTTATATCGAATTCCAACTGCCAAGGGATCTTGTACGTGCATTTCAATATATACACGGGACCTCGGTTTTTCCTATCATCCGAAGGACTAGACAACAGAGTTGTCCTTGTCAGGCCCCTCCGTTCTGCACCACTGACAAGGGGAAACCACGTCGGAGTAGGCGGACAAAATTTCCCCCATAGTATACTGTACCAGTCGGAGCAGACCCCTACGACGTAAAACCCCATTTCATTTCATTTATTGTCATTGGAGGACCACTATAGATTTTCAATGACGTCAGCTACCCGGCCATTAAAGTTATCGCATTACTGGTACATGTTTTGTATAATAGATATTAGCACTTAGCAGAGCTAGAGGCAAATCAATTTTTAATTATTTGTGATAATCAGTTCATTTGTGGTTACATTTGATTTTTTTTATATGAAGAATAAGAGCAGGAGCCCATGTGGGGTCAACCTAGCTGAAGGGTGTACCAATTTTCACCTATATGGTATCATTGCATGCATATTTGTTATCATCAGAATGTAAGTCAGCCCGGTATCTGGTGGTGGGTGTGACTGAGGGCTGGGATTCTTTGCATGAATTCTTGAGCTAGATTAGCTAAAAGTGTACCACATGAAAATTGTACAGCAGTGGACCTTACATCTTCAAGTATTACAAAAACACTGACAGACATTTCTAGTGATATAGACTTCATCTAATCTAGCCTAGTTGCGGGGCGGGGCATTTTTGGGCGTTTTTGTCAGGAGTACGCTACCAATGAATCTGTCTGTCAGTGGTACTTCATGATCCCTGTGGTGGTTCTAAACAATTTCCAAGCAATTGTAGGTGGTACGAACTTCAGCTAATCTAGCCTAGTTTCGGGGCGTGGCATTTCCAAGCAGTTTAGGTGCTACACACTTCAGCTCATCTAGCTGAGTTTGGGGCCGTGACATTTTGAACATCTCTTGTCAGGGGTACAAACTTTTTTTCTTTTTTTTATAGACAATATGCCTATTCAGATTTGTATCTGAACAGGGATTAGGGAACGGGCATAGCCTATATTAAACCCCTCTCCCTGTCAGACATAGATATATGTATTTACATTTGATAAACCATGTACAAATGAAGATATATATTGTGTGTTATAGTTGTCCCTGGAACTTTCTGGTGATTTCGAAAAATGAGTGGACATTTTTAAAATATTAAGTGAGATTTCCTTGTCGTCAATTCCATGCAGTAAAATATTTGTATTTGGATGGGTAGACGCACAAACTGTTTTGTAGTGGTCTTTCATGATGTGGTGTTGCTGAACAACTTCCAAGCAATTTTAGGTGGTACAGATTTCAGCTTATCTAGCCAAGTTGCGGGGCGTGGCATTTTTTGGCATGTCTGTAAGGGGCACCCCACCGCACAAATTGTCTTGTAGTCGTCATTCATGTGTTTTTTCCTTGTGTGTCTGTGTATTGCCTACGTCTTGGAACTTGGCATATATATTCCTTATAGCCTAAGGATGGCAACTATTGATTTTCGTGCATGTCCCGCCCCCCAGGGTCAGAGCCACTCCATACTTTTGTGTTTATCATATACAGGCCGCAATTCAGAATGGATCAGCTTGGAACTTGGCATATGTATTCCTTGTAGCCTAAGGGTGGTAACTATTGATTTGGGTGCATGATTCCCCCCCCCCCCACACACACCTTTTGTTAATATTTTGTCTGTAAATGATATATAGGCTGCATTTATCAACAGATTTGGATCCAGTTAGGAAAAATACATCATAGGGTTGTACCTATTTATATTGGCCCATGTCCAACCGCCAGGGGCAGAGCCACACCTAATTTTTGTATTTATCATCTACAGGATGCAATTCTGAATCTTGGAACTTTGCATATGTATTCCTTAATAAAATATACCGTAAAGACAGCAACTATTTATTTTGGTGCATGCCCCGACCACCTGGGACGGTTTCATACCCACTTTTTTGTTAATATTTAGTCTCAAAATTTGGCAAAACAAACCCAACGCCTAGCCTTCTTTGCCTCGCCATATTACAGTCATTGCAGCTATTTCATATTAATTCATTCTCTTCATTTTAAAAAGTACCATACCAATGAAAGCAGGAATGTGAACGTATATTGCAGCGTTAGAACAGGGAAAATCGAAGGAGCTCAGTCTCTCATTGTCCTAATGCTTCACACCATATTTGAAATAATTAGATAACCGGCGCCTCTATCGCGTCAAAAAGTTTTCGGCAAAGCGGGGAATAACTTCGGACAAAATTAATTTGAACGCACGGGCTCGCAGGGGCGACGACATAATATGTCCACATGAAAGCATTGACCTTATAATACATATAAGGTCCATGATGAAAGTCTTTGCGTTTCAAACACGGCCTGTAGTTACAGACCGAAAATTGTCAAAGCTACAAAGATCCTTCAGCCGCGGGGCAACTTCTCTATTCCCGGATTCTTACTGTAATCAATTTTAGAATAAACAAACCCCTCGGGGAAACAAGATAGCGACAAAACTTATCAGCCAATTAATAGTAATTGTCCACAGGCGAAGTTCAACATATGAATGAATATTGCTACTATATAAATTGGGACCGATCGCAACCGCCACACTTGACGATTAAAAAAAGGGTCGAGGACCCCTGGCTGGTGAGATTCGTGTCTACCCTGCAACGTTTTCCTTTTTTACTCCCAAAAAAGCAAAGTAGGTATCAGAACTCTGGTACTGTTACTTTTTACAATATTTTCATATTGACAATGCCATATCTAGTCCGGGAGTTCACCCTGACCCATAGAATAGCTAAAGCCCATTTAATGAATTTTGTTTCCAGGAATCTAACCGAAATGTCCAGCCGAAGATTAAATACTAAGCAAAATAAACGGGGTGCTTAGGGCAACCAGAGAAGGGGGCACCGCAGGGTTTTTTCCATAGCCGGATTAACCACCGTGCTGCTGAACCGGCGATAAATGCCAAGAAAACTTAACATATATATTATATACATACAACGGGAATAATATTAAGTTAATGGCAGGCCCAGAGATGGGCAGCGGCAGGGATGGACTGTGTGGTTGAGGACCCTCCTGCCAGGGGGTCGGAAAGGGCATTTCCCCTGTAGTAGCATTTTTTATATCATTTAAAATGGTGAATTTGAAAAAGATTTTCGATGAGACCGGGTGCCAGGTGCCACGTCACCAAATTAATACTCCACATGATGATCCCTGACTTCTGCCTACAAACACAAGGTATTTTAGGACTATGATCGGCAATAATTTTTTTCGGGGGAGGGGGCTCAACAACAAATATAATTATGAAATCTTTCCCAACGAAAAAAACCCAAAACGGACACCATAGTTGTACCTGTTATATTGAAAAATAATTTCTGATTTCTATTTTAAATTTTCGAGGACCATGGGGGGGGGGGGGGAGGGACACGGGTTGAGGACCCTGGGTTAAATAATACTGTATTAATTACAGTCCAGTATAATTAAAGTTTTTAAAATCCTAAACTTATCAACTGGACACAGACCACCATTAAATTTCACGGTTCCCTAGTTCGTCTATTTATAGCAATTCTTTCTCTGTCTCTTTTCTCCCCTTTTGCATGCCATTTTTGTTGATTTTTTGGTATAGAATGGACGAAGAGGGTTTGAATTAAGATTTTCTGCCAGGTTTTGGTAAGTATTCATGATTTTGAGGCGGAAGGATAACGGGGTCATCAGGTTGGCTACGGTGATATGTACGGCAACTAGTTACACGTGTTTAGTATACTTCTTCAAGTTTGTGTATCTCAAAATTTGGGTGGTCAACCTCATAAAAATTTTAGCCCAAAGACATGGCCATTTGTTCCTCTGTCTGTAGTGAAAAACATTCAGCCCAACCAAAATTTGGGGAAAATTTGGAGGTGGGCAAAGAGGCCAGAATTAACATTGAAGTAAATTAATGGTGGTCTGTCCCCAACTGTTATGTTTGTTACATGGTTAATTCCCTTGTTTCGCGCTTCGCATTAAATTAATGAAATAAGCCTATCATATACGCTAACCATTTCATGATTTGTGTTTTTGAGTTGCTGCTATTGCTGCTGTAGGGTATTCTTGATTAACGCTATTCAATAGACCAACCTCGACGAATATGTCCCCTATTATATTTCTACAACTCTGTTGGTACCTCAGTGGCTTCATGTGATTTGAAGGCAGGTCGATACTTTTATTATTACCTTTATAGGAAACTGCTTAAAATGTCCGTGCCGTCAACTTGTGTGATGTGACTTGTGCGCGGGTTTGTGTTGTAGGATTCTATATAGTTATTGTGTGAGGTGCGGAGTCACAAATTTATTTGACCCTAATGGTCAAAACTGAGTTCAAATGTTTTATATCTAATTTGTCGAAATGGTTATACTGGTCGCAAAATGAGTCTGCAGTGAATTTTCACTTGATCGTTACATGATCATCTTTGACAAATTAATAAACTTGCATTGCTAACTTCAAAATGTTACAGTATACTGTTATATAAAACAATATTAAGACATTTGTGTCCAGAAGGCATGGTTGTATCCTGCTACTGTATATAAGTCGTCATTAATATGATACCAGGTTGAATTCGTGGGTGTTCGTGATTGATTAAATATTTCACAGTAGGTGATGTAGACATTTATATAAACATTCTTCTTGGGTACAAATAAAATTAAAACAGCTCTATAACGTCATTGTGTCCAGAATGAACAGGTGTATTCTGAGACTGCGTGGTCTTTTTTAAACAGCAGGTGTCAGTTGAATTTGTGGGTGTTGGTGATCGATTAAATATTCCACACTGGATGATCTAGACATTTGGACTATTGATAAGAACATGGCCTTAAGCCTCGTGGGGCGATAAATATAACCTGTACTAACATTGATATCTGTAGATAATTGATCTTGAAGGTAACAGGGAAATATTGTTGAACGAATATAAGAGATGGTAGCATGGTGCTATTAAAGCGATCGGTCGTGTTTGTCTTTATAATTCTTGTTCTTGGAGCAACATTTGTAGTTTATTTAAAACAACCAAGGAGTATATTCCACAAAACCTTACAATTATCTTGGTAAGTAACATTTTCATAGCGTTCATTTCGATGACAATATACATCACTATTTTTCCAAAATGACCCCAAATTTGACGATTTTTTTTCGATATGATGGTTGAACCATAGAAAAATAATACAAACTAGTATTTTAGTTCTATAGTTACACAAAATTAGAAGGAAGGGTTGAATTTTTTATAGTCTCCGCCACCTCCCCTCTCGTTGACTGTATGAGTGAACATAGGCTGTACATGTAGCGTGTTTTAACAATGTTGTCTTTCATGTTATTAATACGTTTGCCTCGAATGTATCCATGGAGATAATAAGCATTATAAAAAAAAAGACCGGCATGAGAGATAATGAATGACGTGAGAGTAATTATATGATGATGACGCTGAGCACGGCTTTCTTATGTTTAAAGATATATTGATTAGACAGTTTAGTAATGAAATGAAATGAAATGAAATGGGGTTTAACGTTCCTACTGTTCTGCTCGGACTGGGCTAATGAAGAGAGAGAGAGAGAGAGAGAGAGAAAGAGAGAGAGAGAGAGAGAGAGAGAGAGAGTTTTGGGGGTGGGGGGGGATTATAGTGCTTCTTTGCCGAATTACGTCATTGCAAGACAAATTTCGAGTAGCCAAAAGATAGATAACTACATAAAGATTTAGAATGATTTGTTGGTACAATATCAATACAATTTGTCCGACTATGGCCATGGATTTGTTAGGTGGGAAGACCTCTCCTTGATTAATAAAAAACGTAATGTTAGTTGGTAGATCATCAAAGAGGGTATAATTATACCGCTCTTATCGGGATTGGTAGATGTCTTCTGTATGTATAGAATAGTGTTTTAGATGCCGGGTAAGTCTAAACCAATTTATAATAAAGTAAGCATACAGGCATTAATAGCCTGAAATAAACGGGCCAGTGCGTGAGATTACATACATAGTTTAAGGACAATATTGGTGCCAGTCATTATCACATATGTGATAGAACTGGTTAAACACGTTCCAAATATTATTTTATCACAGAGATCATTATATGTGATAATGACTGGCACCAATATTGTCCTTTAAATCACCGGGGTCCTGTTTCACGAAATTTCAACTTGACTGTAACATATACATAATACGTTCGTTATTTGCTACATATATATTTGTTGCATTGTATTAATGTTCGTTTATTTGTTACATGTATATTTGTTGTATTGTATTGATGTAATTTTTGTAATTATATGCTGCTCCTCGTTGGCGTTTTTATGCAATAAAATTTACTTACTTACTTACTTACTAAAGATAAAATCCAAATTTTAGTAGATACTTCAATTTTGATTGGCTAAGCACTAAAATCAATCTCATATTATCCAATCACATTACTAAAATTTTGATTTTATCTTAGTTAAAATTGAGTGAAACAGGCCCCTGGTATAGACAAATTATCTCATTCTAACCACCTGAGAGTGTATATATAATATATTGGACGTGTAGTTAAAATTGAGTGAAACAGGCCCCTGGTATAGACAAATTATCTCATTCTAACCACCTGAGAGTGTATATATAATATATTGGACGTGTAGGTGACAGTATATCTTATATAGTAGACCAATAACATATGGGGTTCAAATTCGCACACGTGGGGTTCAAATCGATTCTATACATTTATATAAGGCAGTGGCTATTGTTACGACGAGTCGTAAAAATAGTCCCCAGGCTATTGTTACGACGATGCTTTCACAGCCCTCCATCGGCGAAGTGAAAAACTGAATAGTCGTAAAAATATTCCTAACCCTAACCATCTCTTAATTGCTGCCTTCAGTTCTGAAAACGTTGAAAATACTGCTTTTTTTTTTTCAAAGCTGGTGTTGGAGAGACTGGCAGCCATTTTGGAATTCGTTCTAAACTTGGCTCAGACTCGTCGTAACAGTAGCCACTTTGTTTATATAAATACCTTACATGACTTACAATATAATCTTAATATGATATGAGTTATGGAGCACTGTATGACACGGGTCTCGTCTAGCTAATGATTAAATAACTTATGCCAGTTACAATAGAATATTCATAAGGAGGTGTGGGTTTTCTCCGGGACTTCCAGCCCCCCACCCCCAAAAAAGGCACTCTGTTAAAAATAACATACCCTACGCGCAAGCCCCTGCACCCATCATTCCGACTTAGCTTACACAAAGATTTGAACTCTATATAAGAGTTTATATTTCACACTCTATGACGATTCATGTATATTCAAGGTGCATTATGCAAGAGCTTACTTTGACTCTTGTGGGTCTTTATTTTGGTTTCAAATGTTATATAAATTATTAATTAGACATTTATTCACATGGCAATCCCATAATCCAATTTCTAGATCATCGGTTGTTTGTGATTTTGATTATTTACTTTAATAATCGAGATTTTATTTATTATCGTAACAATGGTAGCAAGGACAAAGGGCACCACGTTACTCTTATCAAAACCACAATAGTAGTATCTGTGCCTTTCAGCCATATTTTTACCAAGGAGAGTTGACGCCTTTGTTCTATTCAATAGATTGAATAATGTATTGTTATCCGAACAATGGGGATATGAATATAGATGAATGGTGAATGGTTGTAACGGCAAAGTGAACATACACTTCTCAATGGATGCAATCAACCATGAATTTACACAGATAATAGTATTATCTGTATATTATAAATGTTTTCTGGCAATATCAACCAAAATTTAACGTTAAATTTAACATATACATATATCTCAATTTTTATGTATAAAAAGACGGAATCAGATTAAACGTTAAATCTAAATATACTAAACCATTATCAATAAATAAATGGAGTAATAGAGAGATGAAACGGAAAACTGCCGCATATTCAATTTGAGCAATAAAATAATCGGTAACCCTAGATTACCGAGAATTCATTGCACATACAAGACGATGTTGTCTTTAATCACTGATTATTTATCATAAATATCGAAGCCCAATAAATTCTCGAATTTTACATTCCCAAGTCTTTTTCCGTGGGTTTTTATCTTAGAATTTTTATCAACTTGATAAAGGTACGCGACAAACGCTCACTAACGCTGGGAGATTTAGACAATCACAGCGTGCTACCTTTCACGTTACTCGCGCAGCCAACACTAATCGTCGCAGTTGCCAATTAGAGAAACCTTACATTTTTGATTTTTGTCTTAATAACGAGTAATTGCTCCACCAATCCTCAGACATTCAGCAATTCGTCGTGGCATGCTCCTAATGAACCGTCCAATCACGATTTGGGGAAATCTGACCCACTCATCTTGCAGTGCCACGGCCAATTCTTGCCGTGTTGTTGGTTGACGTTGACGAACACGTCTCCCGATCAAATTAAACGTAGTACACTAAAGTAAAGATACCATAAACAGGAAATCTTATGCAAGAATCGATAGGAAAGCAAACATGGATAGGATAAGCCAGCAGGCGAGAGTTTTCATCAACCCATCCTTGAAGTGTCAAATTTGACAATGAACCCCTTCCCCCGTGGTTCTGTTGGGGTGATAAGTTCTTCATCTGTGAACATACTCTTAGAGCATGTCCATGACTATTTATCATATCACAACTGCATAGGTATTTTCATTGCAATATCCCCTACTTTTTTGAAGAGTATAACGGCTTTTCATTCAAAATCAAAATAAAAGAATCTTCACTGGGTAGTTTTTGTTCTTCGAATATTGAAATCTCTTGAACGCATCTTTACATACTGCAATTACATTACCCCCCCCCCCCCCGCCCAAAAAAAAAATCAAAAAGTTGAAAAATCAACTTTAATCCACACAAAACAAGGACTATTACCTTCTCAAGAAAATTAAACCGCACTCTTAACACTCTTTGCTGTGCTGGAGCTGGGTTAACTGATAGCAAAGAACTTAAGAATTAGTAATTGTAATGGGGCTGTTCATACTAATTATTCCGTTATAAAAGGACTGATTTGTGTCAGAAGTTTAAAATATCTAGTATCAATATACTGGGCTTTAATGTCGCCTATTATTCGACTACGTGGACGTACTCCGAAATGAGTGTACTACAAAAACCAAGGTCCTGTACCTTGAAAACGTAAATCTTGATGTCCTTAGAACAATCACTGGATTAGTGAGAGCTACATCTTATAACCTATCGTAAATTGCATCAGGGTTCACTTGGATTAAAATGAGACGGTGGCCCCATAAACTAACCCTGTTTTACGAAATGGCGAATTTAGAAATTCTCGTTTGCAATTGTCGAAATCATTTATTTATTTGGACATTTATTGTTTTAAAGAAAGAATTCATACTTTATTTTTTTTTATTTTGGGGAATATTTTATACTTCTTGCCAAAATATTTTTAGACAAAACAAATTTTCAAATTGTGGAACCTTTGAAAACTAGTAGATGTCATTTAAATTTGCCCCCCCCCCCCCGGTCCCGCCCGTCACATGCGCACACACCCACAAACACCCAACACCCAACACCCCATCACAGACTTTAACATCAACACGAATAATATCTTTTCATGTTGTTTTATTATAAAATGTATATATTCCCCCCTACGGTCGTTTTTTTAAATTATGCATACCAATCTTACTCCCCTTTATCTCAAAAATGATGATTAGAACGCTCCAGTACACATGTAATGGTGAAAAGACAGACAACCAGCACGAATAATACCTTTTCATGTTGTTTATTACAAAATGTATATATTTCTTCCACGGTCGTTTATTTTTAAAAATATGCATACCAACCTTACTCTTTTTTCTCCTCAAAAATTGGTGATTAGAACGCTCCGTTACTCATGTCATTGTTTTTTTGTCTTTATGTATTTTCATTATCTATTTGAACTCCCTTTTCAGCCCGAAACACGTAACTTATTATATTCTTGAAATATCACAAGTAAATGATATAGCCGCGTGTGCAACTATTATATCGTTTAGTTTCGAGTAATATTCATTTTGAGCTTTTTAAAGCATCCCCGTGAAAAAATATTATCTAAAATACTTAATCATTCAATATTCCATT